TTATGTAAAGTGGATCATTGCCTGTGTTAGTTTCCAGGGGCTGTCATTTCAAAGGGCCACACATCTGGCAGCTTAAACAACAGGAATGTATTGTCTCAAGCTTTGGGGCTAGAAGTCCAAGGTTAAGGTGTTGGCTGGGTCGATTCCTTCTGACAGTTTTGAGGAAAGATCGGTTCCATGCCTCTCTCCTGGATTCCAGCAATTTTCTGGTCATCTTTGGCATTCTTTGGCTTGTAGATGAATCACCTCAACGTCTGCTTCATGTTTATATGACATTCTCCCTGTATGTTCACATCTGTCTCTATGTCCAAATTATCCTCTCCCTTTTTAAAAATAATTTTTTTAAGTTTATTTATATTTGAAAGAGAGAGAGGGCGAGGGGTCAGAGAGAGACAGAGACAGAATCTGAACCAGGCTCCAGGCTCTGAGATGTCAGCACAGAGCCCAACCTGGGGCTCAAACTCATGAGCTGTGAGATCATGACCTGAGCTGAAGTCAGATGCTGATCCTACTGAGCCATTCAGGTGCCTCAAATTCCCCATTTTTATAAAGACACAGTCATACTGGATTAGGGTTCATGCTACTGACCTCATATTGATGGACTGCACAGGCTATTCCCAAATAAGTTCACAGTCATAGGTACTGGGACTTAAGACTTCAATATAATTTAAGGGAACATGATTCAATCCATAGCGTTTTCCCCATCCCGAGTTTATCCTTCAGTGTCAGTCAGAGTGATTCCTCCTATATGATATAATAGAGGTTACTCCTCTGTTCACAAATGCTCAATTATTTCTCAATCCAATTAGCATAAAAACCATCATTCTTTAGTGGTCTGCACATCCCTGAAGACTTGGCTTCTTGCCCCAGACTCCCGTCACTCTGATTGTACCTCTATTTCTCCCTTTGCTCACTTTGTTTCAGTTCTTTTGGTTTCTTTGTTTTTTCTTGAACATAAGGCAAGTGTACTCTCCTCACAGCCATCGTACTTGTTGTTCCTTATTTTCCCAGTTACATCTGTGATTGACACACCTTCCCTTCATTCACATTTATTCAACTGTCTCTTTCTCAGAGAGGCTTTCCCTCAATGAGATAAAAGCTCTGAATACAAAAATAGCAAGAAGTAGCCCTTTACCTTCTCCACTCCACTCCACTGCCTCATCCCTTACTGTTTCCCTTTCTTCCATAGCATTTATAATACGTTCAGTTATGTACTGTATGTTTCTCTCCCCTGGAATGCCACTTGAGGTAGAGCAAGAACTTTGTCTATTGGTTCAGTTCCATGTCTCCATATTGCCCTGGTGGGAGGTAAGATTTCAGTAAACAGATTTTGAGTGAAGGTTGAATGAATGAATTAGTGAATAAATATGCTTTGAACAGAGCCTTTTATAGAATAAGTCATGTAAGTATTATTTATAATTCTTATACTTAATAGATCTTTCTCCAAATAGTTATTGTGGTGATCAATTTTCAGTATGCTGTTTTCCTTCTTTTTTTATTTTTTATTTTTCCCTGGAAAAGTCATGCTCAAAGAAAGAACTACCTTTAAAAAAGGGGGTGGGGGGTGGGTAAGTGTGATGGTGAAGTCAGGAAACTGACCAAAATCTCGTGAAATCTCAAAATGTGTTAATATTCTGGAAACTTAGGCTCACTAAAAGTCACTGAACTAGAAGTTTGGATGAAAGATGAAAGCCAATTTCTCTCATTCTTTTATTTTTCAAGACAAAATTCTATATTTTCCTGTATATAGCCTTTCTCTTCCTTCTAAATCTCAGCCTAGGGGAGATTTCCAGAATGAGCCATCTAATTCCATCACTTCCAGACATGATTTATGCCTCCTCAAACCTTTTAGAATTTTTAATCTCTCATAGGACATTTAAAACTTTTTATTGTGACCCACATGGGTGATTTAATCAATTAAGCACCCAACTCTTGATTTTGGATCAGGTCATCATCTCACCATGGTGAGATTGAGCCCTTAGGTGGGCTCGACCTTGAGTGCTGAGCCTGTTGGGGATTCTCCTTTTCCCTTCTCTCTCTGCCCTTCCCCTGCTCACATACTGTCTTTCAAAATCAATAAACTTAAAAAAAATCTTCATTGTAAAAGGGAAATATTTACATTTGTGTCTCACTTCCCTTACTAAATTGTAAGTTTCATGGAGCCCCAGATAATATAATTTAACCTGTATATCTCACAACATCTGGCTTGAATGAGGGACTCAAAATGTTTTTGAATAATGCTAAAGGACCTAGTTTTAAAGCACAAATGATACATACGGTTTCTTCTGTAATTGTGAAAAATAACTGGGAAACATTCTCTGGTCCTGTAAGAGGAAGGTATTAAATTAAATACAGTCCTTTTTTTTTATGCCATTAAACCGTGATTAGTCCAATCAAAACAATATTTCTTTACTTGTTGGGCTGTTTAATAAGGCAATTAATTATCATATAATGCATTATAGCTTTGGAGTAAAGGTTTATATGCGTGCAAAGGGGTATTGTTCAAAGAGAATTAGGACATAGGCACTCTTTGGCTGTGGGTGGAGTAGGCGGAGGATATGATAAGATAGCAGCTGAAAAAACTTCAGTAAATTAGGAAATAAGGAATTACAACTTGCATTGTGGGAAGTTGGTGGAGAGTTCACCTCGCCGATACTTCTGATGGAGGGGTCTTCGTATTTTCTTTTAAATGACACACAAGAGCTGTTGTTTTGCATATCCATGTTGGAGCTGGCCAAAATGAATCAATTTCAGGAGCTTCAAAGAGCTAAACAGGCATGTGTAGGCATGGCAAAAAGAAAACAAAAACAGAATGACTTCAACACTGAATCAATTCAAATCACTTAATTCAACGTACCTGTTCCTTCAACAAATATATATGTAGGACCCCTTATGAGCCAGGTTCTATGCTCTTTTCCCACAAAGCTTACATTTGTGTGCAGGAAGACAAGAAACAAGTAAATCTATAGTATGGTTGCTAGTAACACTTTTAGTAAGTGCTGTGTTGAAAATAAGGCATAGGGTATGGCCGAGGATACAAATGCTGTTTCATATGGAGGGAGGTCAGAAGAGATGTACTGATAAGGTGACATTTGAGTAGCATTTTAAAGGAATGGATTGTGCCAGTGGTTGTCCGGGAAAGATTCACGCAACAGCCATTGCAAAAGCTCATGCAGAAGCATGCTCAAAGTGTTTGGTAAGTTCAGCCTTGCCACTTCCAATTCTCCTTCCTAGATTTTCAGCCAGTGTATACTCCCTAACTAAGTTTTAGGGGGAAAACAAAACAAAGAACGGTCAGGGTAGAAGAAACATGATAATTTGTAGAGTGTTGTTCATTTTAGTTAATGCAAAAATATTCGAGCAACTAAACTTTGGGGGTTATTTATCCCGAATATAAAATAAAACACTCATACATATGCCCATATACATTCACATAGAGACAACTTATCATCTGTCTTTTGCTTGCCTTATGCTTTGGTAGTTTTCTATTGTTAGAGAAAATTAAACTAAAAGAATTGGATAAGAACCAAGTATGAATCACCAGTATGGCAGTGATGATTGTTGAGGAGTATTTCCTGATGGAGGGCTCACAGCACATCAAAGCAAAGGTAGGGGTGCTCGTTGGATAGATCTTTTAGAAAGAAAGAGCAAGTGAGCTTCATATCATAGACGCCTGATGCTCATTTTATCAATGATTTAGTGACTTAGATTTTGGTGGGTCCGAGTAAATTTCAGCCAGGTATATGTATCTCAATGAAAGTCTGCTATCTGGAAAGGAAAAAAAATTGTAGTCAGATTTCTTTTCTTTTGACAATTGGACTAAAACTGGTTGTCTTAATGAAGTCAAATCAATTATTTTTTCTTTGTGTGTGTGTGGTTTTTTTTAAAATTTTTGGACCAGGAACTAAAATATTAGATCACAGAGATGAATAATTGTTTAATTTTATGGGTTTTTTTTTTCTTTTTCTTTCTGGAATTCAAAGGAAAAAGAGGCTCCTTTTAAATGGGAAGATCTGGGTATATTGTGTAATTCTTTGGCCACGGTTTATATGTTTTATGCAATCTGAGTGTAAAATTAGTTTTTTTTTCCTTTCTGTATCTATAGAGAGTGAAGCACATGAATGGAAAATACCTTGAGCCAGGTCATTAGGATTGCTTTCCATTTCAACAAATGCATTTGCCACCTGTAGAATTTATCTCCAAAACAGTGGATGCTGGAACAAAGTTTTGGGTTTTTTCCCTTTCCTTTCTCCTTTCTGTCATTGTTTGAATCTCATCTCTGCTCTTGATCTCAGATTTGTAGTGAAATGTTTTCACCTTATAGCCCTTTCTTCCTATGTGTAGCTAGTGCTTCCCATGCACAGTGAAAAGGCAGGGGTGATGAGGGATGGGGACTGGGGGTGGGGGGACTGGTGTGTGGGGGATGGGAGGGGAACTGCTCCCTGTTTGTATGCTCTCTGAAACAAATCTGTAGTTGTTCACATGTAGGTATATTGGTGCTATTATCAACATTTACATACATGTGTACAAACCCCGTGGGAATACTGCTGAGGCCTGTGACGTTCTACTTCCATGAAAAGACCTGTCTGTAACTTTTTCTTTCATTTATTTCTATTCCCAAGACCTTTGACACTGTCATAACCAGAAGTTCTTTGTGGTCTCCTAGTGTGTTTCTGAAGAATTTTGTAGCTGTGCTATGAAAAGCACACATATCTGCTAACAGATACAAGATACAACATTGTGGGGGTTATTAAAATCAGAGATATTCACAACAGCAAAATTGATCATAGAACGTGTATACAGGCACATATAGGTACACATTAGCCTTCTCAAATTGCATAATTTCTATCTAAATTAAGCACAGGTAATTTTGCTTAGAAGTGCGCCTTTCTGGCAATGCAACATAGTTTATTACCTTTCTCTAAATTGATTCAAATTTACTTAAGTGCTTGTTCTTTACTTCTAATGATTATGTTAAAGAAACAGCAAAGGCATAATCGTCTTGCTTACCTAATTTATTTGTAGGTAATCTTCTATTAATTTTTTTACCCTTTTATTTCAAAGCAACACACAAAATTCAGAAATGTGCAAAATTGCTGAGATATATAGTCTGCACAGAAATAAAAATATCTAGATGAAAATGGAAAACATTATCAACTGTGCTGTATTTGTTCCCAAAACTTCTGATATTATCTCAGCTTTTAGTGTTTAAGCCAAGGTCATAGGTGAGATTCTTATGTGAGCCAAGTATGTCTCTGTCCAGAAATTGGGAACTATGGATGAATCAAGGAAAAATGTAAATCCATTTTTATATTTGGAAAACCAAACCAATTCCTGCCACATCTTTTCCATCCTGTGAACAAAAGTTACTATTGTTTGCTAGACCCAAATCTTTGAAATGTTGACTTTTTTTTTTTAAATTTACACTGGAATACATGATATTGTGGAACTGCAGACACGTTTAGTCATACATTTGAACTCATTGATTCTAAAGAAAGGTGTTGCTTTCTAAGACAACATAAAGCACCTATCTTACGAGACCTAGTTTTTTAGTGACATATTCTCTCTCAACGAAATGGTGAATAAAATCACTGTGATCAAGACGCAACTTATTTGGAGTTCTAAGCTTTAGAACACAAGAGACCAAGCGGATCATCCAGTATGACCTAATTTCCTGACCCTGGTTCCTTCTTGCCGACTTTCCACACTTGTAAATAGGGTGCAAATTCCAGCAAGGAAAGAAAAGAAATCCACCCAAGAGCCAGCCTGTTAAAATGTATCTATGCAGTAAATCTATGTACCACTGTGTAATTATAATAACATAAACAAATCCACTATAAGGACATTCACATCAGACCTAATTTCATGCTGAACTATTATAATGCAATTAACAGCCTCATAGTCCTATTTTAATTAAGCTCTGTTGTGAAATATGCAGCATGTGAACCTGTTCCGGCCTGTTTCGTCTATCATTGAATTACCGCCCTTAACTTGTTTTTCTGCTGAATGATGAATTTCATTTAAGGATTACTGTTTGCAGGTCTGGCATTTTGTGGGCTCTTCTAAGCTTCTATGCATCCAGATCGAGCTCCCCAGAGGTGTCCTTCCAGGGCCATCCTGGAAATGAAGAGATGGACTCGATTGGTTTTATGAAAAAGATTTCAGCTGATGGAAGGGTTCACTTGCGGAGCTACCTTCAGACTCAGTAGGGCACGGTAGCTGTCTTCTGGCCTCTTATTCTGCAGATAATACCGAGTGAACTCCAATTTTCCAGGGATCTTATTCAGACTGCCAAATAGTTTGACCATGCCTTGCTAGGAAATGGAAAACAAAGGCATCTATAGAAAATGCAGTTTATAGAAACATCATATCCTGCTTCCTTCCTTTTATTCCTCACCTACCCTAGACAAGAATGTCTAGATTGTCTGGTATTTGCTTTAACAAATCTTTCCCTTCCTCTACGTGGATTGCCTTCACGGTCTGAAATAAAATTAAATGAGAAATATTGCATGTGACTATGTATCAACTATCACAAGTCAGTTTGCTGCGAAGCTTGTTACTCAACAGCTAGTTTTAAAGAAATAGAGTGAAAAGTCAAAGGGAACACTGTGGCAGAGAATCACGTTCGCCCACGTCGGTTATTCAGGCATGAGCCGAACGATCAAAAAAGATCGAATGGTTATTTCCCCATCACTCCTCACCTCTGTGTCCATCCTCTGAACTGCCTTTCTTCAGATTTAGTTCCTGTTATAAAAATCCATGTTGTTCTTCTTTTTTTCCTTTTTTTCTTTTTCTTTCTTTCTTTTCTTTTCTTTCTTTTTTTTTTCTTTTTTTTTTTTTTTTACCTTGCCCTACTTTCTTAACCCTAGGGAGGATTTTAAGAAGCTTTCAAAGCTAAGCATCCCCAATTGCTTCAGGCTGTCTTCGGTTGTAAGTCAGAATATAAAGCAATTACCCGTAGGGTAGGATGTGTTCATGGCCAATGGGAGAGTGTTCAATATATCAGCAGGTAACCGAAAATATTCTCTTCTGTATGAACATCTGGTTCAGATTCTTAACCATTTCTAGTGAGGTTTTATGGGTCTCTTTCCCTCACTTCTGCTATGCTCTGCCTTCTTTTCCATAAGGAGGTGTGTACCCATACAGCAAAATAATAAGATTTAACTTGATCCACATGCTTTGCTGTTGATAGGTATTCGATTATCCTATCTTAAGAACTGCTAGCTAGAAATCCTGAAAACGACCCCAATTGCTTTAGTATTACAACTTTATGGTCCAAAAGAGGGGAGAAAAACAAACTCTGGTATTTCTTCTAGTTAATCTTCAATTCAAAGAACCTTGAGAAATTCCATGGGGTATAGTAGACTTCATGCCTGCAGTAATTTTGATGCTACCTCTGTTCCTGTTTTTCATGAAGACCATACAACACACTTTTTGAGTCAAGAAGGGTGTTTACAAAATTCCCACCCAGGATAAAACAAAAACAAAAACCAAAAAAAACCCAAAAAGCCAAAAACAAAAACAAATTTCCCTCGGATTCTTCCAGCTGAGCACTTAACTTAAGGGAAAACTCAGCGTCCAGGATCATGTTCAGACACATCCCCATTCTGCAGCCACACACGAACGCACAAAGATAATGGTGTGTTACGTGATCAAATGTTTTACACGTGGTGTAATCAGAGGTGCAAGGGCCTTAGAGTCAGACCAACCAGGGTTCACATATCAGAGCGATTATTGTTGGGGTCTCAGGGGGCACCTCTGTTCTACACCTCTTTTCTCCATCTGAGCTATTTGAGAAAATTAAGGAAACACAGGAACCAGACCAAAGGCCATAAACATGTCAGCCTCATTAGGGATAAAGCCATTTGGAAGATAGGGCTCTAGGTCAGCTGCCAAGTGGGCTTGTTAATTCATCACCCCATAAGGAAGGAGACTCGACAACAGACAGAGCTGGAATGCAAGGTCATGCTCAGAAGAAGCTCCTCTTGTTAAAACTAGACTATGGACAGGCAGAATATGGGTACTTCCTAGAGGCAGCTTGGATGTAACTGAACGAGAGGGGAGAGGCGGGGAGGCTGTTCTGATTTCTTGTTTCAAGTTCACCAGGGAGAGAATAAGTAAAGTTGTGGAGAGAAGCCCGGAGTGTAGGGCTAACTGACGTGAATAAGGATAAGGAGTAAGGATTCTCTCTTAGTAAATATCATCACATAGCTGTATCTCCAGACAAGCTGTTTAACATTTCTGAGCTTTAGTTTCCTGATCTATAAAAAGGGAATAATATACCGACTTGGAAGACTTGTGACATTAAGTAAGATATACATATAAACGTGTGTATGCATGTGTGGTGTGTGTTAATTGCCTACGTTAGGACCTGCCACTAAATATCGCTGACTTACTTTCAAGTCCACCTACCTCTTTCTTTCTTCCTAGACACTTAGATCAAAGATGTCTCTGAGCAGAGGGCAACTTACCCTCTTTTCCCTAGGATTAGAAATGGTTAAAAAGGAGAGGACGGAGGAAGTGCGTCATCAAAGTGAATAAAAACTATTTAAAAAATCTACTTGGCACGTTTTCCTGCCCAAATCTTGAAGATCACTTACCTTTTGAAATGAGTCAGCTTCCAAAGCATGAGTTGCTGCTCCACAGACAAATGTGTACATCTTCATAGACCTTTAGACAGACAAACGGTGTGCGGGGCTGCCGCGCAGGTTAGTTTTATATTGCATTTCCAAGGCGGAGAGGCTCTCATCTGTCAAGGCTCTGATCTAACTCCCATATCACCGGTACTTTGTGGAATGAGCAGAGGCTGTCTGTGCCTCCCGGATGTGGCAGGCTTGTTCCCATCTCATTCACTGTATTCTGCTTTTCCTGAAGCTCAATCTTTTACATACAGAGGCTGGGAAACATCAGTGAAACAGCTGCCTTTAAAGAAGAGAAGGAGAGATGTATGTAATACCTGGCCTGGAGCTGTGTGCAAGGGTGGAGAGTTATGAGGCCTCAGTTCTGAATCTGCACAAACTTCTTGGGGCCTGAAGGGCAGCCTGTCATGGTTCGTCACTTGATTTTCCCTGGGGATGTGTGCCGGTGGCTTACCATCCTCACCAGGCTACCAAACACATTAAGAATGAGTTATAAAAATTGATTACTGTTTCCATAGTTGCTTCCACAGTTTTGACATAGTTTCATAACTTTCTCCCTTTGAGATAGTCAATGAACTGGTTATTGTCCTCCCCAAACCTGCACTGCCTGTTCACTCACTGTAGCCCCATTTCAGTGGGGTCAGTAGCCAGTGGGGTCGCATGCTTTGCTTGCCGTCACCTTTGAGGTGTCCCTTTCACTCACAGCTCGTATCTACTTAGCGACCAAACTCTGGTGAGTCTACCTCAGGAAAAGAAATCATGGACTCTGTCTCCAATCCAAATGCCACTACCCAAGTGCCAGGTCACATCAATTATTTTGGGTGGGATGGTCTTCCATCTCTTGTCCTTCTGGTCTACCTTCACAATGCTTTCAGCTCTATGACTCTAAAATACAAGTCAAGTCAGGCCTCTCCTCTGTTCGGAAACCTCCCCCTTTTATAAAAAACAATAAAAATATCTTAGCACAGCATCTTACGGCTTTGCAATTGTGGATGATGTTTCCAGCTTCATATGTTGTTCCTCACACCCCTGCTACAACCCAATCCATGGGACCATTCATCGGCCCTTGAGTCCAATGTGCATGTTTGCATATCAGTACCATTAGGACTACTGCTCCTTTGCGAGAAACACCTATGGTGCTTTTCATACCTACTGAAAGCCTGCAAGGCACAACTCAAATCTCACCTCCTCCATAAGGTTCCTTCTGTGTACTCATCACAGTTAAAGTTGAGTTAAATGTATGCTTACTATGAATTCCTTCTCGACTGTTAGTTAGCTCCCAAAGCATGTTTCGATTTTCTCAGAAACCTAAGATAGAATGGATCCTCAGTAAACTTCTGTTTCTAATTATAGTAGACCTTGATCTTTTCTCAGTCAAGCCATTTTAAGACATTTTCCACTTCTGTACCTGTTCATCCAGATTTCAATCTTACCTTTTTAGTTTCAAAGAAGAAAGAATCACTAGCTGGAATCTTGGGAGTTTATGGTCGATTATATACTTGATGTAAAGAGTACTTGACCAGAACTTTCTTTCATTTTGGTAAATCTTCACATATTTCTGAGGGTTTACAGTATTTGTAAATCATATTAAGAGGAGTTAGCTTCGGAGCCCAGGTTTGATATAGACTTTCTGCAAAACAGATAAATGTTTCCTACCTCAGAAAAAGCCAGTGAGGCAAGAAATCCATTGGATACTTTCCTCTGTCTACTTCTGAAACTACAGGCATCTGAAGATATGAAAATTGGAAATTATAGAAAGCAATCTTGATAGCTCAATGGGTGTAGAAAATGATAACAAAGATTTCTGGAGACTAGAAGCCACAAACACGTTTTAGAGTTGTATAGTCTAATTTTCATCACCAATATTTTAAAGTTCTTAAATTTATTTTGAGAGAGAGATTAGGGGGCAGAGACAGAAAAGAGAATCCCAAGCAGGCTCTGCACCATCAGCACGGAGACTGATACAGGGCTCAAACTCACAAACACAAGCTCATGCCCTGGGCTGAAGTCACCCAGGTCCCCCTTCATCACCGATATTTTACACAAGCAATAAAACTGTCTTTTCCACTTATTCATAATTCAGTTAATATTAACGAAGTCGCCACAGGTACGTTGTATTAGAAAACAGAATTGTTACCTGAGAAATCTTACCAGAACAAAAATGTCTGGCAGGTACAACAGTTAGGGTCATCACAAAGGAGAAACAGTAGATTAATGTACAAAGTAGGCAAAAAGCCTGCCCTGTGCAGTTCGGCAAAATGCATCTTTAATTTATCCTGTCCGCTGTTTTGATGATGCCGAGCCTTAGCACTAAGCACAGTAAGAACAAGGAAAAATAAGCGAGGGTTTCTTTCAGATGAGAATGAGTGAACACCTATCTATAACACCATTCGTCAGCATTTTGTAAAAAATCAACATTGTCATTGTTCCATCCCGCTTGATCTTCCTCCTTTGGGTTAATGTGGGAGCCAATTACAGCTTCATCTGTTTAGAATTAACTTTATGGGGCACACACTGGGGATTTGTCTATCTTCACTGTTTAGATATATGTCATAAAAATATGCACGGAATGGAGTGCAGGCGTTGCAGAAGGCAGAGACTTTCAGATTTATTGTAAAATCCTTTAAAAATATGCTCTTGCCAGAAGTTAATTAATTTTTTTTCTCTTCTTTTCCGGGATTGGGGGGGGGTCGTGGGGGGGCACTGTGTCTCACTAGGTGGCAGTGTATGATTATATCTGGAAAAACCATGGCTTCAAGTCCAGAATCTCCAGCTGTGACCTCCAAAAGCAAAATGAAATTTCTGTGTCGGCACTTGGTCCAGGAGATATTACTTGTTATGTATCTATATACACCGTTTATCCCAGTGGATTCCAAGAGCTATATCGCCATTTTCTCAGACTCTCCAATGGTGCCATTGTTGAGGTACGTGCATATGAAAATATTTTAATGCAAATGCTGTGTAGGTTTAGTGCATGAATGTATATGTTTGTGTGTGTGTGTTTATGCTTGATTTCAAGGGCTTCAAAGTTACTTGCAAGCCTATTATAATTAATGTTTTTTTCTAATACCACAAATAGACTTAAAGATCTAGTTTAGTGTTTTCCTTTAGAAACAAAGGTGCTGTGGAAGAACCAAACTGTTTCTTCACACGGCTTTGTGGGAGAGTGATGGGAACAAATCAAGTGAAATAATTCAGGATTTGGCCCATGATAACTTTGACTCAGTTAACATGTGTAAACATCAGCAGGTTGATAAAGACGTCTGAGTCTGTGGACACTTCAATTTCTCAGGAAAGTACACAGTGCCTTGCTTAAATTCTCTCACACAAAATGAATGAGATGGTGGCATTTCATACTATTTCCATGAGCACATTCTTAAAAAGTAAAGTCCCTGCCCCTAGATTTTCAAAAATGTTCAAGTAGCACTTAGCAAACATCTTGAAGCCATGTTCTCTCTTAAAAAGTCTTTAGGTGAGCTGAGTTTAGTTTAAAAAAGAAATCCCTCACATTGCACCACATTCTTAAAATCCAAATTTCATGGCACGTTTAAACCTGAGCCCCAGTCCTATTTGAATCAGTGTTTTGAATTCTGAAGTCTGAAAGAACATCATTTCCCATTACATGGTGGAGATAAAGGGTATAGGAGAAGGAAAATTTAGATACATTTCATGACTGGTTCCCTGGATGCGTTGGCATGCAAATCACTGAACAGTGTCACACCATTAATTGGTAAGAATTTGGAGAATATTTCTGTTCCCACCACCCTTCCCCTATGGACTTTAGCCACTGTTTTTATTATAACGTTGATGAAAGTCTGGCCTCATAAAATACCTTTGAATATAACCTTGAGGAAGTTTCACGTGGCTTGGAAAGCAGTCTTGCAGATAGAAAAGTTCTTGCATCTACCATCCGAACTCATGACAGCGTTTGGGTCCTGGAGTGACTCATATAGACACTCTACTTGGGAAAAGCACAGACGTGCCACACAAGGTTCCTGATCACTTTACCCCCTCACTCCCTTACTGAGGTGGGAAATGATAGAACCGTGCAAATTGTAGCAAAGCAACAGGTAGGGAGATTCTGAATGTATCTATTAGAATTCCTTGTGGTTGGTCAAGGGCTGTCATATGGCCCTTATTAGACTTCTGAAATATTTGCTTTAGAAATGACCTTATGGAGCAAAACTGCCTTGATTGAATTTTTATGTTGTTTTTGTTGCTGTTGTTGTTTTGCTTTTTGTTTTTGTTTTTTGAGGGTTTTTTTTTTTTTTTTTTTTTGCTTGTTTTTAATCTGCACAGGGAAGTGCTTAGATAGATGCATACACCATGCACTGAAAGACCTGAAGAAGTCAGGACACCAGGAGTGTCTGCGCTTCTGTTACAAACCATCTTGTGGCATCTCGCAGGTCTAGGGACCTGAGCCAGAAGCCCCCGCATGAGGAGGCCTGTTCTCCCTAGCAGAGAAATCATCAGGACCTTTTGATTCACTCACTTCTGCATTTGCTCCAGACCTGTCCCTTCATCACTCCCCACTACTCTCCACCCACATTCTTATCTGTAAAACTGGGTTAATGTATACTTCTGCTACCTGCCTTGTAGAGATTTGGGGCAGATGAATGGGCTCACATCTGCGAAGTACTTTTAGCTCCTTTTATAAAACAAAAAGTAAAATAAAGATTCCAAAGTATTATCGATGGTGTGACGTTAAATCCATTCGACTTGTCAATGTTTTTTTTTTTTCTCCCCAAGTACTAACAGTAATAGTAACATTATGCTAAAAAAGAAATCACTTCTGGAAGGATTGAATTGTGAGGCATTAGGGCTCATGGACACATCTGGGTTGCTTAGCCTGTGTTTGGACCACTACTGCATTATGTAATGGTAATGGCAGAATGGCATTGGCAATGTACAAGTCCACCCCACCATTTCTGAACCTGTGCCCCACAGAGATTCTAGCAAATACTCAACCAGCTTTCCCCTTTTTGCAGATCCCAGGGAGTGCACAAGGTCCTTCTTACTCGTGGGTTGGCGTCTAGACATTTCCCACTTATGTCTTCATACTTTGCTTTACCTGCTTTTTGCTCTGTGAAATCTACTGAAACCCATTTCAAACTGACCTCTCTCCTTGCACTTTCTCTAACACTTATCACGAGTTTTACTTAGCTTTTCTCAACTTGTTTCCAGTATAAAATTTTGTCTCCTAAGAGGACAGGAACTGTACAGCAGAGCAAGTTGTAGAGCAAGTTGGATATCAGAGCAATTTTCTTTCAGCCACATATCTGGCTACTTGGCAACCATCTTACTTTCCTCCGTACCTCTCCTGACCCTTACCAGGTTACTTCCAAGTGTATTATTGGCCTTTGGAGTTAAAAAACCTGGAATTGGAGGGCATTTGAGACTGGTCTTTTGTAATCTCAGTGAGAAATGAAATTAATGCATTTCTTTCCTAAAGATATATGCATTGAAAAGAAATTTCAAGAATCAACATCTAGGTAGATTATACTTCCTGGATTAAGGAAAAGTCTGTTTGACCTTTAAAATTATGGTTTACAAGTAGTCACCTACTCAGATTAAAGTTAACTTCTACCCTTGAGCTCCCTATCTCTGTACTAAGTATGTTATCGATGCCCTAGGAAATCCACTAAATTGCATTGACTTCCTGGATGTCAAATGGTTCTCCATGACTGGAAGTGGGCACCATGATATCCTTTCCATGAACGCCCCCATCATGTGGGTTGAGAGAACTTACACTTAGGAAATGACTTAGACCATTATACTTATACTTAAGAAATACTTAGAAATACCTGTGAGATCCAAGCCACATTTTTAAATGGATGTTCTGATATGGGAAGAAAAGGGAGTTGTGTCTGAGTCCAATTTACTTACAAATCTAGATGTGACAAAAAAAAAAAAAACCCACAAAATAAAAATGGATGAAATTTTGCTTCTGCCTTATAGCCTGAACATGATTCTCAAAGGTTTTATGGTGTTTTTTTTAAATAGAATGTCTAGTTTCCTAAGTTCCTTTTGCATTTAACACAGCTCTAACTATGTGACAAGAGCTATTTCAAAGCCTCTCCTTATCCTGATATGAAATATAGGTCACATGTTAACCTTTTTTTTTCCCTCAATAAAACCCTCACAATTTGGGTTTGAACACATTATATTCAGGATTTTATTTTTATGGAAAGCCATGGGTTGGGAACAGAATGTGTTCTACACTAAAGATTTCACATGCCTGAAATCGACTTTATATTACCAACGACCTTTGCTATGGATTTGTCTCCACCATTTTGTTTTTCATCCAGCCCTGTTACTCATGGGGACATGGCTCTTACTGTGTTCTACATATTTTGCTTTAAAAAGTAAGGAGTCCCCTCCCGCCCCTCCCACTTGTAGAGAAGGTCATTGCTCTGTCTACTCATGAGCACATCTCTTTAATTCTATTTTTATCAGCCCTTCTGAGCTCAGTGATTCCTTAGACTCTCAGAGATCAGTGCTTCAGCTCTACTCCATAGGTAGGCTATCTTCTGTGTGCATTTTTTTAAAGCACAAAGTTACTTTAAAGTTTTTACTGCTACGAAACCCAGAAACCCAGGCAAGGCTAGTACAGATTCATCAAGTCACAAATAAGCTTCCCGATCCCAAGGTATCCGTCGCAATTAAGAAAGTCCTTGGAGCATTGGTTTGGGTGGAATGGGAAAAAGGTTTTTTTTGTCATTAGAGGCAGTGTCGCCCGGTGGTCTGAGCGGAGAAGAGGGAGTCAGGAACTCAGCGATCTCACAGAGGCTCCGTGAGACCCAGATGAGCGGCTTCAGGCAAGTCTCTGGGCCTCAGGAGGATGGGCTCACCTACTTTGAATCTCCCGTCTGAAGAGCTCCTTACCCAGGGCCAGGAGATACACAGCAGGAAGCCTGATTCCTTGTCTGCAAAATGAGAATATTAATCCTTGCCTAAATAACACATTAACCAATTAGTGATTGTTAAGTGCTCTGCTGATAGAAAGCAGCAGGAGAAGAAAGGCAAAAACGAAAAATGGAAACACAATTTTGTTACTAGATGGGTTTTACTTGGCTCTGGGCTTTTCTTCTGCTCATGGAGTTCAGTTACCACACAGTGCAAAGAGCAGGGGTGAAACTGGCCCTCAGCTTTGTTTGTCTCAATGAATCAGCGGATGAAGCTAACTGTCCCCTGCAAATCTACATGACACTTTGAATAAGCATAGAGTGGGGTTTTTTTGGGGGGGGGCACTTGAATTTGGTCCTTGAATCAGTAAATTGCAGGGGGAACATCATTCAAATGACAGACTTTTCAGGTTTAACTCAGTTTCCTATCTTTCAGTAAAGAGTATAGTGAATTTTACAATTCCCACATTCATCAACTACAATGACCAATTTGCAGAGTGTATGAGAGAGAGAAATATACCCACTAATGTGGAAGAGAAATCAATAGGAAAATACAGAAAATTGGGGGGTCTCTGGAATATATTCATTAAATGCATAAATTGTTTATGACACTTTTGTTTTCAGGATGGATTTCTTCCATCCACGTTTTTCTTTTGGTGAAAGGCATTGCACATGGGAAGGGGAAAAAAACCCAACACTCGTGTAGCTTATTGTTTTTATTGTGTACAGTTTTAGATTCACCTAAAGAAAATAGTAAAATTAATTTATTCACACAAATGGGAGAAAGTCCTGTTTTCATTCCCTAAATTTGGACCACTTTACATTTTTTGCCCAAAAGCTGTATAAAAAGATGCAGCAAGTCCTTTGGGCACATTTGCTTATGTGACATTATTGAAAATATACATTAAAATGAAAGAGTAATAGCAATAGTTATGGCTTTGCATAAAATATTATTAAAAACATCAAGGACATTAATGTCTTTTACTTCTGGTTTTCAAACTCAAACTCAACAGTTGCCA